GGGGGGGGAGGCTTTGGGAAAGGGCCTGTGTTTCCATGCTCTCTTCACCCCTCCCTGCACAGAAACGTCCAGACAGGAGCCAGGCAAATTCTCCTCCGGAGAATGGAACTGTAGAAGCTTAGCCTCTGCAGGCGGGAGCTCAGGGCTGATGTTAAGGGGGTCACTCAGGTGCGGGATGTTTGTGACGCACAGCCCTCTTTCTGCCTCACACACAGGAGCCTGGCAGCCAGGTGGTTCTACCTGAGGTAGGAGGTGGGAGAATTATTCCACGAGGAGAAGACGATCTCCGCACACCGAAATGTGGGAGTGGCCAACAGGGCAGCGGCTCCCAGGTGTCACCCTGAAGACAGCGCACCTGTGGCCCAGGTCAGACAAACACCCAGAGACACCTGTCAGCTGGTTAGTGTGTCACTTTTCAATTGAAATGGAATGCTGTTATGGACTGAATTGTGTCCCCAAATATCATATGTTGAAGTACTCACTCTCCCTGTGTTTGGAGATAGAGTCTTTAAAGAGGTGACAGTTTAAACAAGGTGAGATGGGTGGGCCCTCATCCAGTTTGACTGGTGTCCTTCTAAGAAGACGTGAGGAGACCGCAGGGGAGCAGGCACAGAGGAAAGGCCGTGTGGGGACACAGTGAGAAGGTGGCCATCTGCGAGCCAGCGGGAGGTGGTGCTGGGAGTTGGGGGTGGGGACCCCAATGCTGGCGGAAAGGTGTTCTGAGAGCCCCTGGCATGCGGTAGCAGTGTACGAGTTACAGCGTCACTGGTGGTGACCTGGGATGGAATACTGGTGGGAAGGAATGTTCTGGTTGGCGCATTTGAGAGAGGGGAGCAGGGAGTAGTAATTATAAATACCATGGAATCAGACGGCTGTTGCTGGATGCTATGGAAGCATTTGAGAAAGGCAATGAAAGGCTGAGCAGCTTATGAAGGGACTCATCTCCTATAACCGAAGGACGGAGGAGGCTGAGAGTCCTGCCCAGGGCTCGGCGACAAGGGCAGCACAGCACCAGGGAAGGCTGACTTCTCAACCCCGGCTAGTCCTCCATCCAGGGAAGGAGTGTCTGGCACTCAGGATGAGGATGTCTGGGTGGGGACAAGTCTGAAACCCTAGATGCCCAGGGACCCCCTGGGCCTACAGAAATGGCCCCCTCATCCCTGTGAGGGGCCAGCTCTCCTCCTCTGCTTGAGGAGGATGGAGAGGCCTCTGCTTTGCAGGACAACACAGGTGCTCCTTGTTAACTGGGGAAAATGGTGGGTGGATGAAAACCGAATATAGCTGTTTTTACTTAAATTACCACCACATCTTCCTGTTAAATGTCTCAATTTTGAGAGCCTTCTGTTTTAACTTTCTCCAAAAACCAAAAGCAATTAGAAACTAGTTAAAAGAGAATATCGGTGAGGGGAGGCAACCAAACTTAATATACAGAATATACACAGGAATTCATTTAACAGTATTATTACTGAAAAATAAACCCATATTCTCTACAGGGATTCTACTATATTCAGAAAATGTGGGAGACATTCTCTTTAGATGTGAACACTTATAAAAATATACCCCCCCCCAATTTTCTTATTTTACTAATATATGTTTTCTTATATGACATTGTTTTTTAAAACAGAGTTCCCCAGTTCTCTGGAATATGCACACCATCTACCCACCGCCCCCAAATCCAGTCCCACGTCCCCCACAAAATACAGAAAACCTCTCCTACCAAACGACAGATCTAGGAGGTATGTGATCAGCTTTTCAACTCTTGTCTCCTCAGAAGGAAATCATGTTCAATTATTTGCTTCCCTAAAATACATTGAATTCACAGGCTAGAAAAATACAGAATTCATAAAGCATTATTTCAATGATGACATGTATGTATAGCCAATGAATGTTTAAATGCATTAAAAAAAACACCCAAGCATTAATTAAAAGAACCCTGTAAGGAAAAGAATGCTGCTAACAATTCCTGAGACACACGTGCATACGTGCACACACATGCACCCACTGAGAAACCAAAACCCCAAACTAACTCTGGATATAGTCATGGCGTTTGTTTAAAAATGTGAGTCTTTGGAGTCTGGAAAACATGACCATGCTTTAGATGACATCACAAGAAATTTTTCTGTAAATGATCAGTATTTGTAACCCCTAGGTCTCCTAGGACAATCTTAAAAACAATCTCCATACAAGATCTATGACTGTCTGATACCATGAAGGGCTTGTTTCTACTGAATTTTTTTTGGAGTTAAATAAGACCTTCACTTGGTATAAATCTTAAGAAGCACAAAGGGGTATATAACGAAAATTGGCCCTGATTTTCAAGAACTAAAGCCATTATGATGCTCAGCCTGCCTCCAGCGTGGCATACATAACCCAGCCCGGCAGCCAGAACCCTTAAAAAAAAAATCGGATCTTCTCAATCCTAATCCCCAGAGATGAGGATTAATCCTCATTGCAGACTCGGTGATTTGATGTGTCGCTTGCACTGAGTGCAGATGGAAGAAGCCGCCCCATCTTTGTTCCCGCTCCCAGCACACGGAGCTAAAGCACCTACCACTCAGACAGTTGCACTGGCTGCTTTGTAATCAGTGTTATTTTCCCAGTCGAGTCATAGGCAGCATTGGGCAGGAGTGTGTGCTG